TTTGAGGCAACCATGTTTTGCATTTTGTGAAAAAATACAGAAGCTTCAAGACCGCGCAGCCCGTATTATATTGTATGCAACCCCGCACCAACTATTTGAAGAAAACCTTTTCCTGCAGGGGTGCTATGTTCTCGAACAGCCTTTCCATGAACTTCGAGCAACAGTTCCTTTATGCGAATTTAAAATTAAAGTGCGTCATTATAGCTTTGAATGAGACATGGCATCCCAGAAATGCAGCTTTAGTGATATAATAGGTTTTATTCTTGTAATACTGTATTAATATATTATAATATATTAACTGAAGGATTTTATCGTCTATTAATTAAGTTATCTATCTATTTATCTGTGCTTGTTTTCTCTTAATTCAGCGGCGGTGAACATCATATGTCCAACCAACAGTCAGTCGCAACACACTTTACCGAGGAGGGTTTACAAAGCCGTAGGATTTACGAGCACAACGTGACTAACGGGACGAATACAGAATGTTTACAAAGCATGGAGTTGACAAATCATCAGGAAGTTTTTCAACACACGGATAACCAACTTATCTCAGGAAGACCTTGTGAAGCTGACGCACTGCATTCAAGAAACTCTACACTAACGTTCTCTCCACTCAAACGCTATGATTCAGTAGGCAACCCTGGTATGAGAGTCTCTCAGGGAAGGTACTTCTCCCCAAGCAGCTCTGATGAAACATCATCTCCAGGGAGGTACACTTCCCCGATAAGCCAAGATTTTACTCCTTCTCCGACAATCTATACATCTCCAAGCTGCCCAGATGTGACTCCTTCGCCAAGACGAGGTGATACCTCACTCAGTGAAGTAGAAACCAGCGGCTCTTTCAGTTTCGGCTCACTGTCGCTAGAGAAACCCCTCAGGCAAGATTGCAATAACTGCCATGAAGAGATCACAAGCAATGTATTAAATTCGATCCACGCGGGAAGCACACCATCTCCTTGCCCCTCGTGTGCGTCTTCTTTGAATGGCATGGAACTCTGCTCTTTTGAATCTGATAGGCATTACAACGAACTAGGGCCAGAGTCGCCAGTGTCTTTTAAAGTACCCCATCAGGATCAAACGGGTGCTGCTGTGTCTACCATAAATGGAGAAGTAGTTCAAGATTTTAAGGGTGTATCACCACGACATGATCAAATAAAGGTTCATGATACCTATGTTCAGATAGGGAAAGAATCAGATTCAGTGCTGACAAAAACGCCTCCTGTTCAATGTCTTCCACGAGAACATCCTCTTGAAGTTGAGAAGAACACTTACCCGGCTTCTTTGAAACCACTGTCCCCTAATAATGCAACGGTTCCTCTTTCATCCGTTCCTGCTTTACTTCCGGCTGAACTTGTGTCTCCCGCGGGCTCGAGCATAGTGGGACCGCATGTATCACCGCCAATCGATCCTGGTAGTGGATCGGATCCTCCTACAGGCGCTACTGCTTCATGCACACCAGAGCCTGTTTCTTCTTCAAACTCAAGCACGGTAAGACCCCTCATGAAACAACAATTATTCTCCAACCCTTCCCATGGGCCTCATGGGCCCCATGGGCCACCCCAGCGTATTCAACCAATGCCGGTAAGCATGGCTTCCAGATTGCAACACCCTGACTTTCCGAGGCACCAGTCGGGTAATTTGATGTTTCCAGGATGGAATGCTGATGCTTTTCTTCAACAGCAGCTTCTGGCGTCGAGGCTGCCGTTTGGACCACCATTTTACGCAGGAATGCGTGTAATTCAACCAAATAGTCCAATATCGTTGCCCTTACAGGAGCTCCGAACTTCTCTGGGGCGATCCAACAGGGGTGCAGCAGGGAGGGGACGATCATTTGCACCAAGATTTCCCAATGCAAATCTTGGAAATATTAGAACTCGTGGCGAAATTGAGAATGGTGAGTTACCTTCAACGACGATCTTGCAGGAAACCTCTTCCGTGAGGAACACTTCAGACACACCTGAAGATTATACTCCCACTTTATTTCAGAATCAGAAAACCAAACTTGAATCAGCAAACATCGACCCTTTGCCGCTTTTCAAGAGCACACCGTATTGTAGCCGTAACAAAATTGACGAGGAAACATCTTTGACTCAAAGTCCAGGAAGCAGTAATTCTCCTCCGGACGGAAGCTGCTTTGATGGTTTGGCAAAAGAGTCGAGAGAAGGGACTGAGTTTCGACGCTTTACACACGTCCGTCAGGAGGCTGACGATCAAGGAAGATTCAATGCTAAGGATGTGAAGCGAGTTACATCTTCAAGCGGCACCTTAGAAAGTTTGGAAAACGAGATGCAAAACTCTGATGTGAAGAGCTTATCTCCAAGTAAAATGACACAGAGTGAACTGCGTCTCAAAGACCAAAAGGTGAGTTTTTGAGAGATGTTTCCATTTGTCAGTGTGTTAACAAACTGAAAGCGAGAGACAAATAGGTCGTTGGCTGGGAAGTGACGATTACACCTTACCATTTTCGCCTCTGACAGTAGTATACTTATTCTCGACATCGTTTTTATCCGTTTCTTTTGGTGCTGACTTGGAGATTTTGTTTGAAAATGGAGAGCTTTTCTAGTCGGTTGTTATCTTCTCTGGTTGGGTTGAAGGCTTTAGTTACTTTAAGTCTTACAGGTAAACTTTAAACTTCCCACTTTAAATTTTCGCATAAGAAATACAAGTACTCTTCTTTTCTGGAAATTTTTCTTTCTCGACAAAACACAACTGAGTATTCTTAAATCATAGTTGAACCTGCTTATAAGTGGAGGTATTAAAAGAGTGTTACAGGAGTCTTATTTGTTTGTGTTGTGTTTCAGCGTTTTCTAATCGTTGTAGCCTTTACCTTATCCAAAAGTTTTCTTTGTTTTAGAATGAGTTGAAAAGGATCGTCCGTGAGAATGAAACAATGCGTCGGAACATAGACTGGACGAAATCCAGAGGAATGGCGGGTAACAGGTATCCCAAAAAAAAAATTGGAGAGATTGTCAATCTGTTTTCTCTTGTTGTTCGCTGTGGTCTCATCGTTAAACCGAAAATTCGCAACACACTGGAGCTCGAATCCTCACTAGGAAGTTAGAGCATTTTTGTTTAGCGCTCTGGACGAATCTCTGTTCATTGGATTTTTGGTCGTTGTTGTTTTTTAATTAGAGAAATTTTCAATTGAGTTTCGAAAGCAACCCGAATTGCATCGGTTTTGCTTTACTTCGCTCTGTGATTGGTCTAGAAAACGCACGCCACTCTCAACCAATCAGATGCAAAACTCAAACTAATCACGACATGATCACCGGCATGTCAGTGCCGACAAAAACGCCTCCTATTCAATATCCTCCACGCGACCATCCTCTTGAAGTTAAGAAGAACAATTACCCAGCTTCTTTAAAACCTCTGTCCCCTAATAGTGCAACGGTTCCTCCTTCATTGGCCCCTGCTTCTCTCCGGAATGAACTTTTGTCTCCCTTAGACCCAAGCAAAACAGCGCTTAACGTCTTAATACTGCAACTTTATGAATGTAATTTTTGTGTGAACTTTTAGGGAAGGAGAAAGTCAGCTCAAAGAAGAAATTAGTGTTAGAGAGCTCTTTTTACAAAAGGAAAAGGAAATATTTGTCTTAAGGTACAATATTACAAGAATCACATCTGTTTATTTTATACTCGAGTCTTCTTAACCCTTTTACACCCTAAGATCAGTTGGCACATTCTCCATACTGCTCACCTTACATTTTCTAAGATGCTGACAAGGAGAATTTGTTTTACAATCCATAGCTTCGTTAGTGGGTGATCATTTTCTTTATTCTCGTGATCTTTATGCGTGATTTGTAAGGAGAAATTAGATGCTAGTCACTCTTGATAGAGTTGACTTTACCTTGTGACGGGTCTTTTCACTGTTTTACTTGTTACTGCTTCACAGAAATCAAGAGCAAGAACTTTTGTTTGAAAGAGAAAAGTTAGAAGCTGCCTTTGATCAACAACTAAAGAAACAGGTTGGTAGAACGAAGTTATTGGTCGGTTATTTACACGAGGTCTAACCCGAACCACGGTTTTACACAATCAATGGGCCTCAGAGGCTTAAAAGGGTTGATTTTATTGATTTAATGTCCTTCCACTGTTAGCTTTATGCCCTCTTGACGCTGTTCACAAAAATTAAATGTTCAGATAAAAGGTTCAGCTAAATTGATGGTTGTTTTGGCTACACGGCTACACTTTGTTCAAAAACTCAGACCATGTAGTCTCAGACATCTGAATTTGCTGAAAATGATATGTGTGGTCTTTTAACCTTTTAAATCCTAACATCAGTATTCAAGTTCTCAATTCTTTCCTCTTTACATTTACTTTGGTTCTGACTATGAGAATTCGTTTAACAATCAAAGCCCCCTAGGTTGGTGATCATTTCCTTTATTTTCGTGATCTTAATCAATGATTCAGCAATATCACAGTACGAAGAAGTAAGGTGCTGGTCACCCTCAGGGTTTAACGAGTTAATGAACTGTACCAATTTGCTAAGGTGAACAACCGGAAGTCGTCTGATCCTTGTGTTTGCTTCCGTCTCCTTGGAGAGAGTTTTTAGAGTTATATAGATTGTCACGCAACACCGCTGTATCTTCAACCCATGTGAGTCACGAAACTTTTCAGCGTGGCGGTTTAAGACAGGCGAGATACTACATAATTATACATTATTATTATTTTTTTTTCTGTTTCAGCTCGAGACAGAACAAAAGATTGGTAAAACAGAGAACAAGATTCATCTAGCAAAATTGGAGAATGAGCTCCTAAGACTGTACCAGGATCTCTATGGATACACTGTTATCTATTAACGATGTATTTGCTGCCTTATGCACTATGGCACGTTGATTGCATCATCTTACACTGTTCGAAATGTTTCGAAAATGTCAAGCATAGAAGTGATGAGGATAAAGCAAAATATCAATTAGGAGATTATTAGTTGATCCAAAACCAAATTCTCCAAAATAACACCATAAGAACTGTATGTCAGTCAGTAAAGAGAATTACTAATGAGATATTGGGAGTTAAAGGGTTGATTTTCATTTGCTTGTTGGTATTGTGCTTTTTTTCGTTTTTGTTGACTTGATAAAATATGCGGCACCTATGCATGTAATTTATTCGTTTGAGTCTTCCTTCAATACTCTGTATTTCTCTTTATTTTGATTGGCTGAACAACGATGAAACCATGACAAGATGACATCATATGTGTTGGAAACTGTTTCCCGTGTTTCATTTTCGAAGCGCTATGTGAGTTACGACATTGTTGAATCATCTTGAAATCTGAGGCCTACATTTTTCAAGCTGGTCAATGGCAATTTATCTAAATTTCTTCACTCTAAAACAGCCTTGATCACTTTCAACTCACTCTTGCGTTTTCGTTGCGAGTTAATCCCGAGAATATATTTATGTAGTTGACGATTAAAAACGTTTTTCGTAGAACACGTTCGAAAATTGCACATTCACAGGGAATCAAGAAAGTTAGAACGTTGAAAAGTATTTTTATAAATCTATTTTGGAGACCCATTGTTGTGGGACGTTAAGCTTGGCCATATATGAATTTGTTTATCGTTGTTGAAGTTAGAAAAATGTACGTTCTTTTGGAACTCGAGAAGGTTAAGAAAAACTCTTATGAAGAGTATTTTTGGCAGAATAAATCTTTTTTTTGTGGGAGAGTGTTTTTTCGATTTCACTGTAGTCATGACAACCAATGGGTCAGTGCAGTAGTTTCTCCCAATTAATCTTTCAGTCTTTACTACTCTTACGGCAGAGAAAATAATTGACCTTTATGGATAGCTTTTCCTATAGTTCCTCATATTCAAGACAAAAGACCCCTTAACCGGAACGTGCCAATCCTTTCCTGAGTCATTCTCCTGTGGCTGTTTAGATGACGAGAACGCCTTGACTCAGCAAACCTGGCTCTGTATCAAGTTCCAGCACGTGCTCCTCTTGCAAGTAACACTGGCTGGAGCGTCCACAGCGCTTGTCAGTGCTTGCCAGTTTCTGATGTTATCATAAGCAGTAACGCTGAGGGTTCACGTCAGTAATGGATACGATATGGATATGCTGTATGTTTAATTTCTAGTGATCGATCTCGGCTTGACTCAGAGATCAAAAGTAATGATCCATAAATACCACGTTTTTTTAAACCTTTGATCTCTCAAGTCCGAGAGAGATAAAAGTTAATTTTGTTTTATCAACTGATGTAAATTGGCCGTCATAAATTAAATAGTTTACAACTCGGCTAAGAAAAAGTTTGTCGTCTTTGTCCTCCCGGGTTGATTACCGCCTCGTTACCGAGGCTCTCTCCCTCCCTGCTCCCGGCCCCCGCCCCCGCTCAAAAAATAATGTAAGATCATTCGAACCCCTGGGATCACCTTCCTGTGATGTAATCAGAGGAAGAAGAGGGGAAAAGGAATTTCCTAAGATTATAAATCAAGGGCTTTGGCGTTTCTCAAGTCGCAGATTTTTCCAATCTCCCCCCATACTTCGCTTAATATCATCTATCTTTAATCGTGTTGACATCGTTCATTCAGTTCGGGTCAGTATTCTTACCAGAGTGATGTGATTACGTAACATCCATACGAAACGTAAAAGTCTCGTAAACAATCGCTTTGATCGTCTTTGCAGAACAAATTTGATTGTAGCTTTTAGAAAGTTATATATACTTCTTTTAAAAGAGAAAGTTAAAATCATTTTGTGATCAATGAAGCCTTTTGACGCGTAACCTTATCCTTTCACTGGGGCCCCGTTTCCGCTGCACGTCTGATAGAATTTGATACGATGGTGAAGAGAATGACACCTTTGACTCGACAAGGGAATGATGGGCAGATTGATTTGTCATCCTTACGCAATGATCTTCATCTGCTGAATAACGATCTCCTCGCACGTGCACGAGGCGCGTTTTCAGGGAGCAGAAGACGGGCGAAAGGTTAAGTTTGAGAGGGAAATGGCTTTCAAAAAGAACAAATGGCTAAAACCTGTTCGAAATAATTGTCTTATACTTTCTATATTGGTCCTCTCTAAAACTGTATAATTTCTACACAATAAAAAAAAACGAAAATTGCAGAGTCACGCAGGATGGTGGGCAATTCTATCCAAACCCATGTATCCGCAGGAAATTCTTCATAGCATATAAAAATCAATCAAAACGAAAAGTACAGAGGAGGAATAAAAATATATTTCCTCTATCTCCTTATCTTTATAAGCAATACTGTCGAGGCGTGTTACAAATAGTCAATTGCAAAACAAACATTATTGCTCAACGTCAAGAAAACTTTCTCAACAGGTAATCTACTGAAAAGCGCATCGCTAAATTTTCACGCTGAACCTTTTGACCGATGTTTTTTTTTTGTTATTGTTTTTGTTGGTATTTGGGCACGTGAAGCCAATTGGCGCAGAACGACAGAAGGTGACAGAAACACTTGAAAGAAGGTCGTACGCTGTCTAAGCAGTGCATTAGCAGATATCACTCATAGTTGAAAGCATAACAACATAGGATACAGACTGAAATGGGCGTTCCTCGATTATTTACCTGCTTACAAAAGCCAGAAAATGCTTCGAAGCTCAAGGATCGCACTCCACTGCGCCAAAGAATCTCATACTCCACGGGCCATCTCTTCAACGACTTGTGCTCCGCTGTTTGGTTCACTTACTTTATCGTATACTTCAACAAAGTTGTCGGACTTTCCACCACGGACACTGGACTTCTCTTCCTCATTGCTCAAGGCGCCGATGCTATTCTTACGCCGTTTATGGGCATCGGCTGCGATCGAATCGTCATTAAACGCTTCGCGCCTTACGGTAAGAGAAAGACTTGGCATTTGTTTGGCACGATTTTCGTGGCAGTCGCGTGGCCGTTCATCTTCAGTCCTTGCTTTGCATGCGCAGAAGATAGCCCCAAATGGCTCCCACTTCTTTATTACTCGGTTACAGTGGTAATATTCCACGTCGGTTGGGCAGGAGTGCAAATCGCGCATCTTTCACTCATTCCAGAGATCGCCAGACGACCCGGTGAAATTGTTGAGTTGAACGCTGTCAGGTAAAAGTGATATTAAGCAGGTCTTAACAGGCTGACCGTTGACCGTGATTTCAATAGAATTATCGGAAAAGGTTCTTTTTTCTCGATATTATATCTGTACTTTTTTGGAAGAAAAGTAAATCAATCTCAAAAATTCGTCTCCAAAATAAAATCAAAGAAATCAAAATAAAGATTTTTTTGCCTCTGTCTTTTTTAGTTTTCGCACGAGAGAAATGTTTTTAGCTGCAGCTGTGATTTCAAAGATGTTTTTGGACTTCCCTGCCCCTGTTTCGTTATTTAAATTTGAAAATCCAGCATGGTCCAGATTGTAAAGTTTTTAAGTGAAATTTTAATTGAACATTTATAGCCTCCCCCTATTAGCGCTTTCTGTTTATAAACAAACAATCTTCCAAGCCTTTGCTTTCAGACTAAACAGGTTAGCAAAAGTTAAGATTAAAACAAACAATGAAGGCCAATGTTAACATGGATAATTTCAATTTTGTCAGCCTCGAACAAAATTATTCAAAAGCAATACAGCTCATGCTAATTGTTGTTTGTTCCTCTAAGCGGGTTGATAATCTCAGAAAGTCTTTTTTTTATCATCAAAGTATTCACATGTAAATTTGTGCATTAACGTCTGCTTTCAGA